AAGAATAAAAGGGTCATTGGGTTCTGGCAGCCAGGGGACTCTGGACTCTGCTTCTCCCTCTGCCCCTGCCCCTGCCTCTGCCCGTGCTCTCTCTCTCTCACATAGATAAATAAAATCTTTTAAAAAAAAAAAAAGAGACCAAACTACTCCAGTGGTTTCCAGGCCTGGCTGTGTATCAGAATCACTTACAGGTCAAGTGAAACAAAAGATGCCGGATGCTGCCCCAGGCTTAGCAAGTCACAGCCCTCTGGGATGATGCTCAATACAGCTGTATTTACTTACAGCCAGCCCACCATGTGATTCAGATGCACCCGCTGACTTACAAGGGCCCTTCCAGCTCTAACCCGGGATGGAGTGAATTCAGAGCAGGATTTGGGCCTGGGTTAAGGAAGGTGATCACCCAGTAGCTCTGGTCAGTGCTAACTGGGCTTCTGTGAGGTCTGGGTCCAGGGCCCCGGGAAGACCTTCTGGTGCAAACCCTGATTCAGGCCCAGAGGAAATCAAGGATGGGCCCACTGTGCCAGACCTGGGAGTGCAGCCCAGTCCTCCTGATTCCAGTCAGCTCCAACTTTACCGGCCGAGACAGAGAGACAATGAGTGTGTGTTTTGACCAGTATTGTTTTTCTTCAGATTTTTATTTAAATTCTAATTAGTCAACACACAGTGCAATATTGGTTTCAGGAGTAGAATTTAATGAGTCATCCCTTACATACAACACCCAGTGCTCATCATCACAAGTGCCCTTCTTCCTACGCATCCCCCATCTAGCTCATCTCCCACCCACCTCCCTCCATCAACCCTCAGTTTGTTCTCTATCTTTAAGAGTCTTAATGGTTTGTTTCCCTCTCTCTTCTTTACCCCCTCCCATATGTTCATCTGTTTTGTTTCTTAAATTCCACCCAGTTTCATATTTGTCATCTTTTTGTGATTGACTTTGTCAGAATTCATTACGTATTCTGGATACAAGTCCTTCGACAGATACGTGTATTGTGAGTATTTTCTCCCAGACTGTTGCCTGCCTTGTCATTTTGTTGCTGATGTCTTTTGAAGATCAAGTTCTTAATCAAGTCCAATTTCTTAGTTTTTTCTTTCATGGGTTAGTGCTTTTTATGTCCTAAGAAATCTTTCCCTACCCCAAGTTCACAATGATATTCTCCTATGTTTTCTTCAAGAAGCATTATAGCTTTAGCCTTTATATTTAAATCTGCAATCCATCTAAAATTAAATTTTGTGCATGGTCTGAGGGTAGGGTTGAGGTTTGTCTTTTTTCATGTGTTTATCCAGTTATGCTAGCACATGTTTTTTTTTTTTTTTTAAGTTTTTTATTCCACTCCAGTAGAGTTAACATACAGTGTTATATGAGTTCCAGGTGTACAACATAGTGATTAACAACTCTGTACATGACTCAGCGCTCATCGTAAGTGGACTCTTCGTCCCCATCAACCTATTTCACCCGTCCCCCCGCCCACCTTCCCTCTGGTAACCGGCAGTTTGTTCTCTATAGTTAAGTCTGTTTCTTGGTTTGTCTTTCTCTTTCTTTTTTCCTTTGCTCATTTGTTTTGTTTCACGTTTTTGAAAATTCTTTTATATTCTCATTGAATTTGCCTTGGTGGCCTTGTCAAAAATCAGTCAACGACATATACATGGGAGGTACACTTCCGGCCTCTCTGTTCTCTTCTGTTGATGCTTTTGTTTATTCCTTGCCAGTACTACACTGTTTTGATTATTTTGACTTTATAATTAAAGTTTTGAAATCAGTGTGAGTCCTTCAGCTTTGTTCTTTTTTCACGATTGCTTTCACTATTCTAGGTTCTTTGCAAGTTGTCAGTTTCAAAACCTGCTGTGATTTTATTGGGATTGCATTGAATCTATAGACAAATTTGAAGAGAATCGACTCTTAACAATATGGAGTCTTCCAATCTACACATATGATTTATCTCTCCATTTATTTGGGTATTTAACTATATGAAGCTGTTTTATGAAGGGTATTTTTATTGTACTTTCCAATTGTTCTTTGCCAGTACATAGAAATACAGTTTTTCTTTATTTAACAGCCTTATTCAGATATAATTTACATTATGTAAAAATCACCCATTTTAAGTCTGCAATTCAGTGTATTCTTAGGTGAACTTACACGGTTGTGAAACTATCACCATAATCCAGTTTTAAATATTTCCCTCATTCCAAAAAGCTCCCTTGTGTCTGTTTGCAATCAGTCCCCACTCCCAACCCAGCCCCAGACAACCGACGACTTTCTTTCTGTCCCTATAATTTGGCTTTCTAGAAATTTCATATAAACAGAATCATATAATACCTAGGCTTATGTGTCTGACTGCTTTAACCGAGCGTACTATTTTTTTAAGGTTCATCTGTATTATTGCAATAGCTCTTTCCTTTTCTATTGCTGAATAGTATTCCATTGTATGGATATCCTACGTTTGTTTGTCCATTCATCAATTGATAGATGTTTGGCTGGTTTTCACTTTGGGGCTGTTTTGAATATTGCTTCTGTGAACATCAGTGTACAAGTTTTGGGTGGGCATGTGTTTTCATTTCTCTTGGAGTAGAATTGCTGGGTAAAATGGTTACTGTGCTTAACTGCTTGAGGAGCTGCCAGACTAGACTGTTTTCCAAAGTGGCTGCCCCATTTTATGTCCCCAGCAGCAGTGTATGAGGATTCTTATTCTCAGCATCCTTGTCAGCAGCATCTGACATTTTCACTAGCGCTACCCTAATGGATGTGAAGTAGGATCTCGTTGTAGTTTTGAATTTCATTTTCCTGATGACTAAGGACATTGAACTTCCTTTCATGTGATTTTTGGCCGTTTGTATATCATCTTTGGAGAAGTGACTATTCAAATCTTTTACCCATTCTTTTTAATTGAGGTAAAATTCACATAACATAAAATTAACCATGTTAAAGGATGAAAAGTATTAGCATTTAGTACATTCACTGTGTTGTGCAACCATCACCTAGTTCCAATATGTTTGATCAAAAGGAAACCCCATACCCATTAGGTAGTCACTCCCCATTTGTCCCTCTACTGCAGTCTCTGGTAATCACTAATCTGCTTGCTGTCTCTGTGGATTTATCTATTCTGGAATTTCATACAACTGGAATAATATAATATGTGACCTTTTGTGGCTGGCATCTGTTACTTGGTGTTATGTTTTGAGGTCCGTCTGCGTTGTACCCTGTATCAGTACTTCATTCCTTTTTACGGTTGAGTAATATTCCACTATATGGATATATTTCATAGTTGTTTATCCATTCATGAGGTGATGGAAGCTTGGGTTCTTTCCACCAGTTGGCTGTTGTGAATAGTGTTGCTTTGAACATTCATGTATAAGTAATCAAAAGATTGCTTTGGCCATCCTGGATCCCTTGATCTTTTCCATAAATTTTAGGATCAGCTTGTCAATTGTCAGTTTTTGCAAAGACTTCAACTGTGATTTTGAGTTCACTGAATCTTTAGATCAATATAGGAGGTATTGCCATCTTAACAATATTAAGTCATCCAATCCATGACCATGGACTACCTTTCCATTTATTTTAGCCTTTAATATCTTCCAACAGTGTTTTGCAGTTTTCAAAGTATACACTTTTTACTTCTTTTTGTTAAATTGCAAATGGTATTTTTACCATTTTTAATTGCATTTTCCATTTGTTTTTTTATCTGCCAGTACATAGAAACACAATTAATTTTTAAGAGTTGACCTGTATCCTGATATTTTGCTAAGTGGACCTATTAGTTCTAATTTCTTTGTAGATTTCCTAGGATTTTTCTGTGTAAACAATCCTCTCATCTACAATTAAAGATATTGTTTCCTTTTTCTTCCCAATCTTTATGCCTTTTATTTCTTTGTCTTGCTAGTTGCATTGGCTAGGAATTCTAATACAGTGTTGAATGGTAGTGGTGAGAGAGTGTACAGTCTTTATCCTGATCATAGGATAAAAGCATTTAGTATTTCATCATTAAGCGTGATACAAACTTTAGGGGGTTTTTGTAGCCATACTAGAGAGGTTTTTTGTTTTTTGTTTTTTGTTTTTTCCATGCTAGAGTTTTCATAAAGGGCCGTAACCCTGATTAAAACCAAGAGACACCAGTGTTAAGGTTGGGACTTTTAGTAAAAAGAGACTATCTTCGAGATCTATTCAGAACAACTTTACCAGGCACAGGGCAAAAAACCCAGCCCACATTAGAATAAGCAAAAAGAGGCATTTGTTTCATGTGTAGTAAGAACTTCTGGGAGTCTGTCTGCCTCGGGCACAGGGGGATCTGGGGAATCAAAATGCCATCAGGATCATTTCCATCTCGACTCTTTTTACACGTTACTTCAGGCCCAGCAGAAACCCCCCTTCCCACCTCTCATCACCTCATTTGCCAAAGATGTCACCAGCACCTCCAGATTTATGGCCAACCGACTTACCAACTCTAGTAAAACTAAAGGGTCTCGTTTTGTCTCGTTTTTCAAATAGTTCTAAAAAAAAAACAAAAAAAAACTCAGGATTCATTATTTGAAGCTACTGGAGTCACATGGCCATTCCTGAACCAATCACTGTAGGCAAGGAAATGGAATGAATGCCCTGATTGGTTGGGCCCATGCCATGTGCTCCTGTCCCTCGGTTCCAGGGGATGCGGTGAGCCCCACCTAAGAAGGGGGAGGGGCAGTTCCACAAAGCAAAATCAGAGTATTGTTTCCAGGAAAAGAGGGAATAGGTCTCAGCCAAGCCTTAACCGCAGCTGCCCACACTCTCATACAGACGATCTCGTGTGTTCCAGGCCTGGCACGATTCCTGGACGACTTTGAGCTTCAGTTTTCCCATTTAGGGCATGCGGGTGGTGATCCCACCTGAAAGGTCCAATGAGGCATCCTACAGGAAAGCTGTGTCTCAACTATAAAGTACAGTGCGCACGTAAGGGAGGGGTGACAAGAATGGTTAGTAAGCAGATGTTCTTACCCATCTGTCCATCTGTCCTCTTCTGTCTCTCTCACAGAGCACCTGAAGAAGCCACTCGAAGACTACATGGCCCTTTTCCCCAGTGTGAGGATTCTTCGAACCAAGAAACGGGAGGGGCTGATCAGGACCCGGATGCTGGGGGCCTCAGCAGCAACTGGGGATGTCATCACATTCTTAGACTCGCACTGTGAAGCCAATGTCAACTGGCTCCCCCCTTTGCTCGGTAAGGGACCTTCCCAAGGCTAGGTCGGCCCCAGTCTTCTGCAGGGATCATCCACACGGGTTCCTTGACTGCTTAAGACGCAGCCAGCCAGTACCAGGTGCCACGGGGGACTCAGGAATGCTCAAAGAAACCTTAAAAATCCACTCAAGCCCTATCCCCTCATTTTACAGAGAAGGAAGCCAAGAGGGGAAGTGACTTGCCCAAAGTCCTACAGCACACTAATATCTACTTACGTGATTGCTTCCCCCAGCTTACTTCAAGTTTTATTGGAAAGCAAGCCAAGGGTGACTACTGGTAGGAGCCAACCTGTGTAGGGACATTATCCTAACAACTTAGAATAGTTAACATTCGCTGCACTGCTACTGAGCCAGGAAATTTATAAGGGTTATCTCCAGCCCTCACAAAACCATGCCAGGTCAGAAGTGTCCCCATCTTCTAGTAGAAGAAATTGAGTTTCACTGAGTGACTCAATATTGTTCCCTTGGGTCATAAGTGTCAAAGTCACCATCTATCTGGCCCCAAATTCTGTCACTCTCACAACACCACACTGCCTTCCCGAAACTCCTTTCCTCTCTGGAGAGTTTCTGACAGCTATCAGGAAGGGGCTGTGGACAGGGCAACACGATCCAGCAGCCATCCACCATAGCCTTGCAGACAGAAGGGAGGCATGAGGATTCGATTCTGGGCAGTGAGGTGCCTCATAGCTGGCTAAGGAAGGAGGTCTGAGTTCTGCGGAGCTCAGATTCGTTGAATGCAGGGAGCTGGTGCTAACAGGTGGACATCGAGGAAATGGCCCACTGAGACCAGGAATCAGGTGAGGGACAGGGACAGAGGCAGATCGGAGAAGAGTTGTCAGTCTAGAGAGAAAATGAACTCCTCACACATGGGTGGGTATGCTCTCCATAAACAGAAAGCTGGGGAGCAAAGGGGACTGAAGTTTAGGGCCAACTTGGGCCTGCATCAGAATCACTTGGAAGACTCATTAAAACACAGAGTGCTGGACCCCACCCCAGAGTTTCTGATTGAGGAGATCTAGGGGTAGGGCCTGAGAAGCTGCATTTCTAACCATCTCCCAGGTGGTGCCAGTGCTGTTGGTCCAGGAACCACACTTTGAGGAGCACTGGTTAGGCCACCAAACAGAGGTGAGAACAGAAAGCAAAACCCACACAGTTTAATGGGATAATCCAGCAAATCTGTTTTCTGACTCAGATCGGCATGGAACCTCAGTATTAGATTATATGCTTCTGACCCCAAGGGTCCAGGATCCCACTGGGTTAGGAAAAGGATATAACACAGATTTTCTGGTAAACTGTTTATTTAATTAAGCCAAGAGGTCTCTGCATCTGCCTCTCATTACTGAAAGAGAAAAAGGAAAAGAGAAAGAAAAAAGCCTCACCATAAATCACCTAATTTATGGTGCTGAAGGAACAACCCATTTTGGGGGTCATCCAGTGACTCATAAAGAGAACGAAGTGGTGGGGCACGAAGCTGAGCTGGGAGCCTAAATAGCCCTTAACTCTGTTTCTATGGAACTATATGAGGGTAATTTTCATAATCTGCAGGATACATGGAAGAAACATGTTCCCCCTTTGTATTTTTTATTTTTCTGATAGAAATGTGAACGGGTGGTGTAGATGTAAAAGTCTGTCCCTGTTCATACGAGCAGCTGACAGCGCACATCAGGGCTTTTGTCTCGAAACCAGTAACGCCTCCTTGCACAGCTCACTCCACCTTCTGTGGCGATGAGGCATTCCTGACCCTGAGAAGGATTCATCCCCCCCCAAAGGAAAGCAAATGTTGATCCTCATTTCTCCCATCATCATCATCATCATCATCATCATCATGGCTCTGCTAGTCCCTTAGCTTTTTACGACACAGCCATATTGGAATTTGATGGTTATGGGGTAAAGCAGACAGGCCAGGCATTATTATCCACATACAACAAATGAGAAAACTAAAGCACCAAGAGAACGAGGGAGATGCTCAGCTTCTGAGCTTCTTTCAGCAAGCCTGGTCACAGACCATGTCAGCAGAATGCTGATGGGATGTGCGGATGTGCGAGAGGCTGGGCTGAGCATCTTGGCCCCGCTGTCCCACTCGGTCTTCACAGGGACCCCATGAGACTGGTGTTGTCTTCCTCCATTTTGTCGGCACGGAAACCAAAGTCCAGAGGCATCAGATAAGCTTTGTCAAGGTTCCACTGCTTGTAGGTGACAACACCAGGGTCTGGACCTGGGCATTCTGTCCCCCAGTGAGTGCAGCACCCCAGAATGCTGTCCGTCTGATGCTACCCCTTAACTTTCAACCTCCCACAATCAGCCAGCCTCCAGCAGAGTTCTGTGTCCTGGGCCCAGAGCCTCCGTAGAAGTGAAATCCCCCGGATGGCCCTGAATAATTGGGAAGAGAAGCGCTTCTCTAGATCTTCCCTTGGAGAAGTTTCTTCGACTTCATTAAGCATCCCGAGGGAGCCCGGTCACCAGGCAGATCCAAGCTCCACCCCTAGAGATTCTGATTCCGTGCAGCTGGGCCAGGGGCAGCCCTGGCGGGTTTGTAAAGACACTGTGGGTGCATTGGCACTGGCGGCCAGAGGACACACTGCCGAAAGCAGCATTTCTCAAACTGTTTTGACTATGTGCTACAGAAATACATTGGACATCTCAATCCAGTACACAAACACACACACCCATGCAGTAGGACTGAAGCACATTTCCTGAAGAAGTACTTTTTCTTATCACTTGGAATGCACCCTGACATTCAGCATTCTTTTTTGGTTCATTATATAAAAACACACACACACACAAACACACACTCAATCAATTTCATGACCCACCTATGGATCATGTCTTGCAGCTTAGAAAAAGGCAAAAATGCTGCTTTCTCTCCTGGAAGAAAACTCTGTTTGATGAAGTCTGAGCCCTAGGCAGCTGCCAGCCTCCACTGGCCCTACCATGTTCCACTTTCCAAGCCTCGAACTTGACTGCTGGCCCAAGCAGACAGGCACAGCCCACTTGCCCCTTATGGTAGATCATCTTCCCCAGTCACTGACACCCCCCAAGCTACAGTCACAGCTTCTTCTTGGAAGGAACACTGAAGAACAGAGCCAACCAAAGCTTAAAATTCTGGCTGGTAGGTTGGGCAGAGTGAATTCTATAGAATCAGCTCCTCCCTGGCTTAAAGGGGACCATAAAAAGCCATCTGGTTAGGGACCCCATTTGCCATCTTGAATCACCTAGCCTATAGCATTCCTGCACGGTAGAGGTCAGCCAGGCCCTGCTTGCTTGCACACGTCCAGTCACGAGGGACCCATGGGATAGTCTATCCCTCTTCAGTAGTTACTAATGATGGAAGAAGTGAGCTGAACTCTCACGCAGGGAGGGCCATTCGGCCACTGACTATAGCTAGGAAGTTTTGAGGAGCTGTCAGGGGCAAGTGCCGGGATGCCTGGCTACTTTGGGCCACAAGTCAAGGTTAGGACCTGGAATGTGGAGCCTGAGAGGCCAGGACAGGAGCCCTCCCAGAAGGCAATGAGCCTCTTTCCACAATAGTGCTGACCATTACAGGCAACTGTGCTCAGCACCTCCAACCATCACGGTATCCGGGTACTCATAACCACCTGAGACACAGAGCCTCTTCTCCCCTTTCACGAAGGAGAACACTGGGGCTCAGAGACATGATTTATGTAGTTCACAGGTAGCAGGGCTGGGATGGGAGCCCTGGCCCATCTTTCTTAAAGCCCACGCTCTCCCTTCTTCTTGGGATTGTGAAACTCGAGTGTTCAGAGGATTCACTCAGGGCACACGTTAAAAATGTGAGTAAGCTGCAGAGCAGGGTTGTGCACTTAGCTGCTCCCCCATCCAGCCTCCCTAATGGGCATCTCTTGGCTTCTTCAGACCGCATTGCTCGGAACCGCAAGACCATTGTGTGCCCGATGATTGATGTGATTGACCACGATGACTTTCGGTATGAAACACAGGCGGGGGATGCCATGCGGGGCGCCTTTGACTGGGAGATGTACTATAAGCGGATCCCGATTCCTCCAGAACTGCAGAAAGCTGACCCCAGTGACCCATTTGAGTAAGTACAAGCGACCCAGGCTGATCCCAGTGGCTGACCCGGGGACCCCTCCCCAACATACCCAACTCAGGATCACCCCTGCCCCCAGGAGTGCAGTGCAAGGGGACCAGGGCCGACATCCCCAACCAGAAGCACGGCCCCTCCCAGCTTGTCACAGAGCCTCGGCTCAGGGACCTCCCGGCTGGCCACCTCTTCTTTGTCCACGTCTTTGGTTGGCCAGACTGCCCACAGGGCCGTGAGCACAGTGGCTCTGTCCCTCGAGCCTGGGACACAGTCGTGGTCACCACCAGCAGCACCAGCCCCGCCACCACATGCCGCACCCTTGCTAAATGCCAGGCACAGTGCTGGGCACATCGCACACAGATCCTCTTTAACCCCCCACAGCCATATGTAGTCAGAATTATCCATATTTTCCAAGTGGGGACACCAAGTCCCGTGGGGTGAGGCAGCTTTTCTAGGTCACACAACTCGGAAGGGGTGAAGGCCAGATGCACACGCAGGTCTGTCGGCCTCTGGAGCCAGTTTTCCCATCATTCAGTTACACCCTCTTGGAAAGATTAGGGAAATATTAGGGAAGTAGCAGTTTGTCCCATGGTAGAAGTTTGGGGAGGTGTGGACTGGACCCATAACATCCTAGAATGTGAAAGCCAGGGGGACCTACAGGTAATGGACTCCAACCCCTTGCAGATGGGGAGACTGAGGCCCCAGGACTTGGCAGGGGGAGGAACGGGGAGGTGGCTGACTTATACAGTGAGTTAGTGTCCAGGCCAGGATTAGAGCCAGGGCCCGTCCGGCACCCATCCTGTGCTGTCCTGTGGGCCACTTTGGCTCCCCTGCTGGAGGTCTGGAAAGACCCTTGGGTACAAAGCCGACACCCAACTTCCTGCTGTATTAGTCTCCTAATTATAAGTTTGCACAAATTTACTGGCTTATTAAAACAACACATATTTATTCTCTTAAAGTTCTGGAAGTCAGATGTCTGAAAAGGAGTCTTACTGAGCTAAAGTCACCATATCGGCAGGGCTGTGTCCCCTTTGGAGGCTCTAGGGAGGAATCTGTTTGCTTGCACTCTCTAGTTTCTAGAGGCTGCCCACATTCTTTGGGTCATGGCTCCTTCCTCCACCTTCAAAGCCAGCAGCATAACGTCTCCAAGTCTCCCTCTCTTTCCCCCTTGCCTTCCCCCATCCCTCCCCCTCGCTCCCTTCCCCCCGCCCCCCTCCTTCTCCCTCCCCCGTCTGTCTTGCATCATCACATCCCCTTCTCTCACTCTGACCCTCCTGCCTCCTCCTTTCACGTACAAGGACCCCTGTGATTGCATGGGGCCACCGGGACAATCTCCCCATCTCAGATCCTTCACTTAATTTTATGTGCAGAGTCCCTTTGCTATGTAAGATGGCCTATTCCCAGGCTCCAGGAATTAGGCATTGGCTTCTTTGGGGGGCCATGACCCTGTCTACCACACCTGCCTAAGCAGTTTAACCCCAGTGAACCCCAGCTTCCCTGCACCTCATGCTCCCCATCTGAGAAAGGGGTCTGTCAGTAGTTCGGCCATCTTCGTGGGCACAGGGAACACCAGAGTTCCTGAGGGGAGCCACTAATGCTGTGGGCCCAAGGAAAGGCTCAGAGGGAGGAAGAGACAAGCTTGTTTGGGGAAGTAAAAGGTGGCTGGGCAATGGAGCAGTGTGAGCTGAGAGCATGGGAGGAGCCCCGTGCCTCTTGAGCAGGTCAGACGTTTGGGTTCTTCTCCTGTCCTCCAGTGTCCTAAGCACAGTCAAGCACTACTGTTGGAACGCAAGCCCACATCATGCAGTCAGCAGCCCTCACACGGCCGAGGCAATCCGCAGTCGCCCTGAGTTCTCGAGAGTACTACTACTAAGACGAGTCCCTAACATCTGACCTGAGCTGGTAGAGCAGTCACAGGGGACATTACTTGGCCACACACGGTCCTCACCAGGGCGCCCCAGGGGTGGGTACAGTTCTCCACCTCTGCCTGATGCAGACCCTGAGGCTCAGAGAGGACGTGAGACGTGCCCAAGAAGACATGTAGCAGAGCTGAGGTCGGAATGGGTTACTCCAGAAAGCAGACTTTTCAGGGTAACCAGTACCCCTTTTGGTTTGAACCAGTACCGTAAGCAGACTTGTGGGCCCTACATTTGAAATGTGCAAAAGGATGGGTCTCGTACATCATCTTCTCATTGCAGGATGAGGAAAGGGTAAGTCCAGGGCTTGCAGCTGCTTAGTGGCAGAGGCCCCGCTGGTTTCCTCTGGGGTCTCTCTCCCTTGTCTCACCTGGAAGGGGTCGGGCCTGCCCTAGAGCAGTGGTTCTCAACCCTGCACACTGGCATCACCTGGGGAGTCTGTCAAAACAAACAAACAAACCCACCAGACCACCCGGGAGACCAGTTACGCCAGAGTGTAACTGCGGCTGGGATCCAGGTATTCGTGTTCTTTAAAGCTCCCAGGGGATGCCGATGTGTGCCATGGTTGAGAGCCACTGGCCTAGATGCTTCCTGAGGGACTCTCCATCCGTTGTATCCTCTGATCTTCTTTGCAGAAGTATCTTTTCTGCACTGTACTTGGACAAAACCCAGGGGAGAGGCCACTAGAAAAATCCTGGTTATTTTCTGCGCACTTCTCCACGGTGCCAGCAAGCGGGCAGTCTGCAGGCACAGGGCAGCAGAATGATGTTTGAAGGGCACGGGCTTTGGTGGCAACCCCCCCCCACCCCCCGCCTGGAACTGCAGATCATCCACTTACTCAGTGTATGTCCTTGAGCAGGGTGTGTAGCATTTCTGGATTTCAGATTTCTCCATCCGAAATGGGGGCTAGGAATGGAGCTTTGTAAGAGCTGAAGATGATGCCGGTGAAGTGAGTGGTAGACGCTAGACACTCCGAATAGTTGTTATTATTGCAGAACACAGCAGAAAATAGACTGGGCCGGAGGAGAGGCTTCCCTCTGGAGGCAAGCCTCGAGCATCCAAAATGCCTTAAGGCTAATATCCTCCCAGTTCCACAGCAGCTCCGCAGCCCTTGCCACTGGCTTCCACCCAGGCTGATTTCCGTGTGCAGAGTCTTGGGTTTGATTTCCCATGAAGCATGGGCGCAGAAACACTCCCTGCCTCTCCAAGCAGGGTATTTGCGGCTCCAGCCAAAAAACCCCAAACCCCACAACCTTCAGGAGACAAAGGAAAGTTGATACTAGACACCTTATTTTTCATACTACTGGGTACTCTCAGAAATATAACAGCAGTGCGAGCTAGGAAACACAGCTATACGTTCATCCTGTAGATGGGGAGACCAGCTCAGGGGTGTTAAATCAGACTGTCCAGTAGAAATATAATACAAGCTACATAAGTGCTTTTAAATTTCCTAGCGGCCACATAAAAAAAGGTAAAGAGAAGCAGCTAAGATTCATTTTTGTAAAATACTCTGTGTAACCCAGCATACCTAAAAGAGTCTCATTTTAACATGTAACCAACACTTTGAAATTATTTTTTTTAAGATTTTCTTTTTAAGTCATCTCACACCAACATAGGGCTCAAACTCTCAACCCCAAGGTCAAGAGTTGCATGACCCACCGACTGAGCCAGCCAGGTGCCCCTGAAATTATTAATGAGGCCTTTTCTATTCTTTTTTTTCCACACTAAGTCTTGGGATTCCAGGGTGTATCTTACACTTCCGACACATCTCAATTCAGAGTAGTCACATTCCAGGTGTTCGGTAGCCACATGTGGCCCATGGCTGCGGTACCAGGTGACACAGGGTTAAATGGTTAAACACTTTGTCTTGGATCACACCAAAGGCAAAGGGGAGAGGAAGCTGGAGGGATGGCTTTCCTATCCCCGATCCCCTGTCCTGTTCACGCATCACCTGCCTCTTGATTGCTCCTTCCTGACAGGAGGAATTGTTCTGTGGCCCTGAGGGGTGTGAGCTCTGGCAAAGATTAGAGATTCAAAACCTGCTTTAAGTAGCTGTGAAGCCTTGAGCAAGTTACCTCTCTGTGCTCTGGTTTCTACATGCATCAGTGGGGTGATAAGGATGAGGCCCATCTCATGAGGTCAACGCAAGGAGTAGTCATCTTATTAAAAATTAGTTCAGGCAAGCACCTGCCACATTTGAGCCCTCAGTGAATATTCAAGGGGATCTTCTTTTAAAGGAGTCCCTCCTATGCTTTCAAGGCTCATCTGCTACAGGAAGCTTAGGAGGCATGTGGGTTAGCTACATTCTTTTTAAATCAGCCCAATTTCCATGAGCTTGCAGTTCCCAAGGCCGGGAGGTGGCATGAAGTTTGCTGCTGGAATGTTATTTGGTCTGAGGGTTTGGAGTTTTCCAGTGGAGCCGGATAAGGACACGGCCACTCTGAGAGATCTTCCCTCAGCAAATACTGGTGGCCCCTCTGGGTGCCAGCCCTGTGTGAGGCACCGTGGGGATGCAGGCAGGCTGCTGCATGGCATCCCCTTGGGCTTGGCACAACGCCATGCTGACGTCTTGTTGCCCATGGTGCCCCCGCTTCACCATCTCTGTGCTCTTGCTCCTGGGGTTTTCCTCTGTGGGGTTCCTTCCTCTCCCCTCATTTCCCCCTTGTCCAAACCTACCTCGAATGCCACCCCCCTGAGCACCCTTCCTGGACTCTTGCCCCAGCCTCCCTCCTCGCCTCCAAAACCTGGAGGCAGATACTCCCTCCTTTCGCGTTCCTGTAGTGCTGTCTGCACCTGCCAGAGGCCCTTGTTGCCTGTCTTCTGGATCCTTCTGTCCTGAGGTGGCTGCCCTCGCACACTAGCATCCCCTGAGATCCCAGGCCAGCTCCGATTTACCTCCACAGTCTCCTAGCATCTGCGGCTCAGCTGGTACTCAGTGACTAGAGCAATGAGACAGTGAATGTGTGCAGTTAATCGTATCCCAGTTTAACGGAAAGAACAGAGACTGTGTCTTCTGCAAACTCTCAGCAGAACAGATGTCCAATGCTGGGCTGACTGAGAATCATCCAAGGAACCTGTTTGAAAACACACATTCCTAGGCTCCATCCCCCAGGGACTGCTTCATAGATCTGGGGTAGGGCCCAGCAAGCTGTGTTTTGTCTTCTCTCTGAGAGATTCCACAGCCCAGACAGGCTCGAAGGGACCTGATTCAGAGCATGTAACCCGTGGGAGGACCAGAGAGGCCTGGCCAAGGCAGCTGCAAGGCACACACGTTCCTGTGATTTCCTCTCACAAGTAACGGTTGAAAGGAGCTTTGGATCGGTTTGGTTAAAATGTAGCATTTAAGAAGGGAGGTTATGGCCAAGATAGAAGACAGCCTGGGCCCTCCCTTGGAAGGGCCTCAGAGTCCCCGCTAGACATGTGGGCTGTGCTCACGGGGCATCGTGCAGCACCATCCCCGGGGGAACAACAATGTCGGCTGACACCCAGAGCACGCGGCCGGGGCGTTTGGTCTTCACACTGCACTCTTCTCCCCTGACAGGTCTCCCGTGATGGCCGGTGGACTGTTTGCTGTGGATCGGAAATGGTTCTGGGAGCTGGGCGGGTATGACCCAGGCCTGGAGATCTGGGGAGGGGAGCAGTATGAAATATCATTCAAGGTGAGCCAGCTTTTTGGAAGCCCCCTTCTCCTTGCCACACCCCCCTTGGCACCTGTCCTGAGGGTTCTGCAGCTCCTGTTGCTCAGGTAGAGAAGTCAGGGGCCGTGGGCCACTCCTTGTGGTGCGTGATAGTGGACATAGGGTGTCTCCTCAGGCTGCGAAAGCCTTAACCACAGCTCTTACATCATCCGCTTCTTAGGATGGCCGAGTTAGAATAAGACAGGTCTCACTTCCAGTCAAGATGGTGCCGTGTCTCCCAGTGAGACGTGCAGCAGACCAGCAGTGGGGAAGAGAAACCAGGACGAGGAGGGTACACAGGCCTAGGGGAATGCTATGCTCCGGGGATGGCCCCTAGCCTCCCAGATTCCGAGGTAGCCTGAGCGCTTCCTGGCCACCCCTCTCCAGTTTTCCTTTTTGTATCCACCACTGCTGGAGTTTGCCATAGAGACCAGTGGTCAGGAACTCAAGTTGTGGACTCAGAAAAGTGTGGGTTCAAATCCCAACTCCGCTTTTCAGGAGCTTGGTGATTTGGGGCAAGTTTGATTGGCTTTCTTTCCTCGTCTGAGATTAGATAGCAATGATACTACCTACCTTACCAAGCTCTTGTGAAGTTTGAATGAGGTAATAGAAGTGCTTAACATGCAACCTGGGCACACAATCAGCAATTAATATTTGGTAAAATTTATTAAATATCCAGTGAAGGGGTGCCTGGGTGGCTCAGTTGGTTAAGCATCCGGCCGTTGGTTTCGGCTCAGGTCATGATCTCAGTGTCCAGCGATCGAGCCCCGCATCTGGCTCTGTGCTCAGCAGGGAGTCTGCTTGAGATTCTTTCCCCCTCCCTCCCCTCACCCCCTCCCCTTCTGCTCCTCCCCCTGCTCCCTTGCATGGGGCAGGCACATGCACTCGCTCTAAAATAAATAAACAAAAAAATCTTTAAAAAAAAAAAGATCCAGTGAATAAATATTTACACCAACCCATGTGCTATAGAAGCTTCGACAATGGTAGTAGGGAAATGTTGGTTACTAGTTAGCCACCCAAACTTCTGGGGCCACTTTCTCCCCTTCAGTTGTGGGATTCCATATTGAGTCAGGTGAAGAAGAGAGGCTTGGTCCCTCTTGAGGGGAGGTGGGCCAGGGCCTGCTTCTGGCATCCCCAGGGCCCGTGGTAGGGCATACCGCCACCCGCGAGGGATGGCCAGTGGCACATTGCTGGGAATACACAACCCTGATGCGCCGCCCCCCAAATTGAGCACCAACTTTTTATGCAAGAGACCATTGTCTCACAGAGTGATTGAGACTTTGGTGCTGCTGCCACTTCTGACCAACTACGTGATCTTGGATAAGGAAGGCTCACCTCACTGAGCCTCAGTTTCTGCTTCAACGAAATGGGCTTAATGATACTTGAATCCTCACGGGGTCGTGCAGAGGATTAAATGTGACCATGCTGGTTGGGTGCTCCTTAACAACATCCCAAAGATTGTTTTCATTCTCGACATCATTGTTGTCCCCGTGTGCACCACCGGTTGAGCCATTCAGACCCAGGGAACATAAATCCTTGATTAGCAAGAAAACAACAACCTGGCATTCTGCCACAACACTATTTTGGTTTGAAGGGCCATCTGTGTCTGTTTTACCTCCAAAGTTCTGAAGCTGTCTCCCGTAAGGGGACCAGCCCCTGAACTAACCCTCATGTCCAGGAGTGATATTCGAAGTATTTAAGGGTGATGAGGGCCCAGGCACCAACCAGTCAGAGCGGACACCAGCTGCAGACAAGTCTGTGTCCCCTCTGAGGTGCAGCAGCTGGATTTCAGCCCTGCTCGGAGCTGACGGGACACTGTGCCAAGCCCTTCACACGCGTTGGCTTGTTTAATCCTCCCAGCATCCCTAGCAGAGTGATGTCATCATTATACCCATTTCACAGGGAGGCCAGTGGGGCTCAGACCAAGGCCCCACACAGGTGGAGTAATGGAACCAGGACCTGGCCCCAGATGTGCCTGACTGCAGAGCCCGCATTCTGACCTGCCAACGTTTCCTAGGCTTCTATAGGGACAGGAGAGGGAGAGAAGACACGTGAGAGGAAAAGGAGCCTGAGAAGTTGGCGGCAGTCTTTCCCCCTTTCTTCGGTTTTTGCACCTTCCTGGGGTTATTCTTAATTTACTGGGATATTGTGCAGCCTCTCAGTGAAGTGAATTAATGACAGTCTAAGTGGGAAATAGCAAATAGGCTTCCTCTCGCAGCCAACTCTGATCTGCTCAGGGATAGGGGCTATACCCGGCGCTGTGTTGCTATGCATTCTGAAGCTGCATCCAAGCTAATGAGAAAAAGTGGTGATTGATTAGTGATGTCTGCCATGGGTGCAGGTGTGGCAAGTGATGGCACACATGTCATTTATTTCATATCCCTAGCCCATGCAATCTCATTTTCCAAATGTCACATCCTTATGGGTACAGTGAAATCACACGCACGGGATCAAAAGAGTTATAACCTCACACTTCGTCAATCCAGCAGTCAAACAAACTTGATTTACAGAGTTTTCTACCAAGTGCGTACCCAGAAATGGGCACACCTGTGTTCTGAGTGCTCACCAGAATGGAAACTTCAGGAGGGCTGGAATGTCTGTGTGTTTCACTCACCGCTGCATCCCAGGTACCTAAAGGATTGCCTGACATGGAGGAGGCACCGAATAAATATGGCTTGGTGTGTCACTGGCCAGAAACCAGCCTCCATAGTCAAGAAGTCCCCTTTCAGAGACGCCCTCTCTAGAGAATAGTGAATGGAGAAGGCTTTGCACAAAGGAATTCCTAAACCCAAAATGATTTCATTCTGTGTGTTTCAAAGACCCATCTAATGATGCTCATCAGGCAATTACAGCAGAACAAATGGCATTTTTCTCCACACAGTTTGTTTACAAAAGACTTGGTAATGAAGCCATATTGGAAGTCTCTCACCCGGGAGGGGGAAGGAGGCTGGCCCCTGTTTCATTTGATCCAATTACTCTCCTTCACTCTCAAGGGGAAAGGGGTCTGTGTGATGAGGAGGCTCCCAGGTCTGGAAGGGAGACTTTCCTCCCTCAGTTTTCTCTCTCCTGGTTTGGAGAGCATGAGTTCCCAGAACCCGTGACAGCTCATCTGCCAGTGCTTTGTCTCCCCAGCCCCCGCGGAAGGCCTGCTCACGGCGCTGAGGGGACAGGAAAGCCCATCCATCTGCTAGAGATGCCTCCCTTCAAGGTTTCATTTCAGTGTTCCATTTCAGCTAGAGGGGAGCATTTTGAAAGGGCCATGTTCCCTCTGTTTCATCTCTGCTGAGACCCCTTTTCTTCTTGGTGACAGAGAAAAGAGACTGGACTGAAAAGCTCGAGTGTATTTTCAGTAATTAAGATAAATTGATATGTGCCATCAGGACTGATGAATTAATACTTTGGCTCCAATTCCAGAGTAGGCCATCTATCCTGATGGGAAAACCCTAGAAGAGGTATTCTGAAGGTTCTGAAATTTCTGGAAGAGTCATTGATGGTTTTTTTTTTCCCCCCTCTCTCTTTCTCTCTGTCTCAGGAGAGATTTTGTTTCCACAGTCACACTATCAAAGTTCTCCGGGTTGGCAGTTAGGATCTTCCCAGTTCTAGTGGCTGGTTAAATCTTGAACTCCGTGGCCTGCCTGTACCTGCCTCCGTGAGCTGACCCCTACTTGTCTCTCCACTGCCCCTCACCCCGCCATCCTCTCGCCCCATTGCATTAGTCTGCCCTCTTGGTTACAGATGACCCAAATCCTAGTCAATCTGATTTAAGTGAAAAATCAGAATCAGTTGGCTCACACAGTTGAAATTCCAGGGCAGACCTTTTAGGCCTGGCTGGATCCGGGACTAACCCATCTCTGGTCTTCATCTCTCTCAGTCCCTTGACTCTGCTTTCACCCAGGTTGGCTTCCTGCTCAGGGCAGGCTTTCTCTTGTGGAAATACTCAGCATCCAACTGGAAAGAGTGTTTGTCCTTCCCATCATTCCTGTAGAAGTCCCCAAGTTGAGTCTCACTGACCTGCTGCTTCCTTGCCCATCCTGGAGACAGGAAAGTGGGGTTGGGCTGGTTCCCCAAAGGAAATTCCAGGCACTGTATCTAGAAGGAGAATGGATGTGGGGCAGAGCAAACCACAGATGTCCACGCAGACGTGTGTGCACAGCCATATGGAACTGTTCACAAGCCCTAGGCTCATGTGTCAAATCATCTTTGGAAGCACACACTGTTCACTTCTCTTAAAATGCCTTTCCTTAGTCTGGCCAGCCCACATTCAGCCTTACCTGAGCTCCCTGTGCTAGGTAGGGTCCACCCCAACGCCACTCCTGGCTTTGGCTCTGGATTCCTCATGTTAACGTGACCCAAGGTGTGGCCTGTCTTCCCCACTGGACTGTGAACTCCCTGGAAGCTATCTCTAGACCCAGTGTCTGGCCCATAGTAGGTGTTTTAAATAACTTAGTGGCATCAGTTCCTATCTGATCAAACTTCCTTCGCCCTGCCCTTCCCAGACTTAACATCACCATCTTTGGGTAACGGTGTGGTGGGAAGCGTACTCAGCAAGAAGGCAGGGTACTGGCTTCTCATCTCAGCTCTCCATCCATCCGTCTGAGGGCCCTAGACCAACTCCCTAGACCTCTCTGGCCCTCACATCCCAAACAGTGCTGCTACAACTTTCCTTCCTATCCTACAGGATAGAGTCAAATAAGGTGCCGTGGGGAAAGCCCTTTGACTTACACAGATGCGAGGGTGGTTTGGATTAGAGGTGGTAGCAGTAGGACGAGCCAGAAGGAGGACTGCACAGTGTCCCCGGGAGGCCAAGGTTAGGATATCTTCCAGCTCTGAGATCCAGGAGAGAGAAAGTACCCACAGGACAATATGGATGAGCTTGCATGAGAAAGGTTGGCTTGGCAGCAGTGTAAGTGGATGGCTCTTCTTAATAGCAATTCGGCAAAATCCGTTCCATGCCAAAGCAAGCCCGTTCTTTGACCTAAAAT